TTAAAAAGTTAACCAAAAGTCAACGCGGGGCTTGCATCTCGAAACCCGGTAGAATTTTTACGAAATCCGAACACCCATTCCGTTACGAGTCCAACCATACTAATTTCACTCAAATCCGACTCCGAATCGACATTCAAATCCCTAAAATTCGTTTATGAAACTTCTACAATTCTTTCCAAAATTTTCATCTCCAAATACTAATATAATGATGAAAACAATGATATATTCATGTATATTAACTAAATCCAAGTTAGAATCACTTACCCCGATGATTTTTTTGAAAAACCTAAGAAACATCGTCACAAACCGAGCTTTCTTGGTCCAAAAATAAAAAATGAGATGAAAACATCATTTATATGGTACAACATCTGACTTCCAAAGTGTTGACCGCATATTTTTTTGTGCGGTACGCACATTTAAGGTCTTTGCGGCCACAGTCCAAATTGTGCGGTCGCACTTCAGCAGCCATTGCACTACCAGGCTTCAGTAAATTGACCATAACTTTCGGTACAAATGTTCAAATAATGATTGGTTTACCTTTCAAGAAACTAGACTCAAAGGGATATAACTTTTATTTTTGGATCATCTCGAAATTCCTTATAGATCAAAAGATATAAGCTTCCGAAGTCGCACCATCCAACCTGAAAATCTCCTTTCTGCGGCCGCTAGAGAAATTCTGCGGACCGCACAATTTCAACTGCGGACAGCACAATTTCAACTGCGGTCCGCACAATTACCACTGCCTCCGCACTTTGGGAGTTTGCGGCCGCACATCCGCACTCCAAAATGTGCCCTCCGCATTTCAACTATCCCAAAACATCATCAGAGTACCGAAATGCCCAAAGTCGTTCAAAACTCACCCCGAAACACACCCGAGGCCCCCGGGACCTCAACCAAATACACCAACAAGTCCTAAAACATCATACGAACTTAGTCGAACCCTTAAATCATATCAGACAATGCTAAAAACACGAATCATACCCGAATTCAAACTTAATAAAACTTAAGAATTTTCAACTTCTATATTCGATGCTGAAACCTATTAAATCAAGTTCGATTGACCTCAAATTTTGCACACAAGTCATAAATGACATAACAGACCTATTCAAATTTTCAGAATCGGATTCCGACCCCGATATCAAAAAGTCAACTCCCGGTCAAACTTCCAAACCTTCCAATTCCAACTTTCGCCATTTCAAGCCAAAATTAACTACGGACTACCAAATAAATATCCGGACATACTCCTAAGTCCAAAATCACCATACAAAACTATTGACATCATCAAAATTCTATTCCGGAGTCGTTTGCTCAAAAGTCAAATTCCGATCAACTCTTTTCATTTAAACTTCAAAAATAAGGATCGTTCTTCCAATTAAATTCCGAAACCAAAAATCAAACTCGACCGCACACGCAAGTCACAATTCATATTACGAAATTACTCGGGATCTTAAGTTACTAAACGGGGCATTAATTCTTATAACAATAAGTCGGGTCGTTATAATATTATAGGTAAAGAAAAAAAATGTGTAACTTCTTAAATAGTGATAGTGTCATAGAAAGGAGAGAATACTAATTTTCTAGTATCATAGTGTATGAGTGAATCCAACCAGCAACTTTTCATTGTTATACTGATCAGTATTTTGAGGGTGTTTGTCTAAGTTTATAAGTTGGTCAAATTAACTTATAAGTTATTTTTGACTTATTTGCGCGTTTGATAATATTAAAAGTGTTTATAAGCCAAAATAAGCTATAAGCCATAAGTTGGTCACCCCAACTTATCAAATTTCAGCATATATATATCCCTAATATTATTTCATAATTCCTGAAATACGGTTATTAAAATAATATTAATCTCAACCCTCTTCTTAATGTCATTATTTAACCTTTTTCACGTCTTTTCTCCAAATTGAGTAACCCTACCGCCATCATCAAGAAAATATATTCAAGTTTTGAAGCTTTTCTATGTCAAAAGCAAGTGAGAAAGCTGCTCGTTTATAAATCACTCTTTGTTCATCTTCTTTAATTTAAAATATTTGCTTGCATTGTTTATTACATAGCAAACTTTTGATGGCAACTCTTTTTTTTTTTTTAGCTAATGATGGCAACTCGTGATTATATTGCTGTGAATATTTATGATAGTTGAATGTTTTAATTTAATTACAAAACACAAGCTTTCATTAATTGCATATTTATTTTGTACAAATATTTTATGTACTTTTAAGTATGTTTTATCACAAACTTTAGTCAAAATATTAATTATTATATTAAATATTGTGATTGTTGTTTAACTTATCATAAAATAATTTATATTTATAAAAATAATCTTATCTAATTATTTTTTGTTAAAAGTATTATGAGACATAAATTATGTTATATTTAAATCAATTTTAATTTAAAATCTCGTAAAAATTACGTTATTATTACTTTAAGGGCATTTAAGATATTGCAATAGAAAAAAAATATTTATCGGCACTTTTTTCCAAACACTTAAGCAACTTATTATCAGTTTCAACACTTTTATCAAAACACGTAATTACTTATTCATTAAATCAGCTTCAACACTTAAAAGTATTTTTAAACACTTAATGCTTATCAGCTACTTTTGATCAGCTAAGCTACACGAGCTCTTAGTCTAATGGAAATCTAATCGAGTGAATAATTGCATAATAACTGAATGCTACTTTCTTATTCATCCTTTTAATTAATGTATTATGTTACTATATTAGCAGCAATACATCCAAAAATACTATTTTACTATGCATGTTACACCAAAATCCTAAATTCTTTTAGGTGTTTTTGCACGTTACTCTTAATGTATTCTCTTTTAGGTATTTTATGTAAACATACGTTTTTGCCATTACACAAAATTAGGAGGTTCTTTCACTTTTAATTGGATGTCTTAAATTCGAAGGAATGTACAACCTTTCTATGAGGAACACTATACTTTTTAGCAAGTCAAATCTAAATTAATAGAGTGAGATTTTGAATACTCAATAGTTATATATATATAGAAAAAAGTGTCACATTAAAATAATTGTTGTTTTGCCCATACTACCACTGCTCTTATCCTCATCAATATTGTTTCTATTATTGTTCTTCTTTATAGAAAAGAAATCTGATCTCAAATTCTATTATTATTGTATTCATTACTTAATTCTTCGACATTTTGTACATAGCGACTCATGCAATTTATTAATTTTAGGAAGCACAACCATACCCTATAAATAGTTACATGGGCATGCATCTAGGGCCACAAGCAACCATCTCTAGGAAAATATGAAATTATTAAAGACTATATATTTTATGAAATAATGAAACTTGAATAAACAAGGAGTAGTATTAGCGGTAAATAACTTTACAATTTAGTATAGCTAGGTAAAAAAATTTCTTTTTGTTTCCATATATTTAGATTTTCTCTTGTACCTCCGAGAGACGCTTTTTTTGGATTTTACAATCAGTGTTCAGTACCCGTATTAGGGTCCTGAATAATTCGAATTCACGTTGCATAAGGCCCATTAAAAAGAAGAGCGCTCCCTAAAGAAAATAATTTCATTCTCAGAGTTTAAATCCGAGATCTGATTATGAATAGCTAGATTAGAGACTATTCTTTACTGCTATGGATATATAAAATATGGCAATAATGACAAATTTCCATTTCTTCAAACTGTCACCTTGGAATATTAAAAGTTGGATTTACTTTAACGTTAAGTAAATTACAAGTTAAATTTTGGGTAAAACTCCACTAATTCCAGGGCACTGAAATTATAAGAATACCAACAAGGATAGAAATGTAATACAATATGCAGATTTACTTTGTATAATAAAGATATAATAGAAAAGGAGTAAAATATTATTGAGACCTACTAACGATCCATTTTATTTATTCATTATTTATGCAAGTAAAGTTTTTTTCATACGTTTTCTATGGAACGTTCCGAAGGGGACCGTAATTAATTATTTTCCTTTAACAAATGAAAAGTAAATCTTGTTTCTTTCTTTCTTTTTTTATGGAAATTTATTAATGCCACTAGCAATTCCATCTCAGCTTATGCGTATAACAAAATTTTTGCTTTTTAAAATCAAACTTATTAATAGCGCCATACAATAATAATAATAGTAATAATAATAAGAAGAAGAAGAAGAAGAAGAAACTCACAACAAGACGATAAATAACCAAGAAAACGTAAAGGGCCAAATCAAACGACGTTGTATTCATCCAATTCTCTACGGTTAAGAAAGCTTTTCCCAATGAAAAAAGAAATCAAGAAGAGAGAATATAACAAAAAATGGTCCCTTATATTTTACGGTAGATTGAAAGTGGTCCCTTAAGCATATTACTGAAAAGTTTTGGTCCTTTAAGTTTGCCAAATGTAAGCATATTCAGTTTCCGTCAAAAATATCTAATAAACTCTGGTATTTAGATTTAGCAATTTTTTTTAAAAAAAATAGAATTTAACATGAACTCACATTTGAAGATGTTGTGTATGCCATTTATGGTATATTTATGCTATTTGTGGAGTCTGTTGCAGTTTACTGCTATTTTTATTTATCTTTAGCAGGGGCGTATTTAGGGAGGCGGAATACCAAAAACTTATACTATACATATAAAGCAAAATTTGTTTACACTTTTATATATAATATTTTGAATCTTTTTGATACAATCCAAAAGCATAACTTAGTGGTCAAGAGGGCAAAAAATCTTCACGAGGGTTGGTATAGTTTTTGGTATTATAGTTTCTGGGATTTGACGAAACTTTTCTTGCGTTGCTGGTTAAGACTTTTTTCTCTCATAATTTTTGGTAAATCTAACAATCAAAGTTCATTATATATTTGTCAAAAATCTAAAAATACTTACTTTTAACAAACTTAAAAAATCAAAACTGCTCAGACATATAATCAAAGGACCAATATGAACCTATACCCAAACACGAGGGACCATTTTTCATTTACATAAAAAAAACAAATAAAAAACTTTATCTTTCCCTCAAAATAAAGAAACCAATCCATGGAGGAAGAGCTTAGCCATTTACACAGTTCACAACACACTCATCAATACATCATTGAAACTCTCCCCATAAAATATAAATTCCATCAAAAGAAAATTCCTTTTTATATTCAGTTTCTAGACAAAACATATAGATACACAGAATTCTGTATCTATACCCTTTTGCTTCAAGAAACTCCATAGCCATTATTAAACAATAAAGATTCAATTTTTTTTCTTCTCTTTCTTCAATCATAACTCTTTTCTTGTTCCAATCCATTCAATCTGTCATTTTCACACAATTTTTCTAAATACCCTTTTCAAGAAATCTTCCTTTAAAAATGGCTTCAATAACACCCTTATCTCAATCGCAACCCCTTTATGAAAAACCCCAATTTACACTACTGAAAACACCTCAAAACCAGTTTTTTGCAATACCCTTTTCAAGATTCACTCAAAGTTCAAAACTTTCATTGAAAAAATCAAGAATGGTTGTAGTTTCAGCTACAACTGCTGCTGAGAAATCCAATAAAAGGTATCCTGGTGAAGCTAAGGGGTTTGTTGAGGAGATGAGATTTGTGGCTATGAAATTGCATACTAGGGATCAGTCTAAGGAAGGCGAAAAAGAACCTGAAGGTCAGCCTATGGCTAAATGGGAACCTAGTGTTGAAGGGTACTTGAGGTTTTTGGTGGATAGTAAATTGGTTTATGATACTTTGGAAAAGATTATGGAAAAGGCTCCTTTTCCTGAGTGTGAGTTTTCTTAACTTCTCCATCCAATTTATGTGACTGTGTTTGACTATGCACAAAGTTTAAAAAAGATAAATTTTGAAACTTGTGGATTTAAACAATGACATAAATATTTGTGTAGTTGTATTATAAGATTGAAAGTTTAAAGTCAGATTGTTTCTAAATATAGAAATGTGTCATTCTAGAGTGTGAGTTTTGCTTAATTTCTGTCCATCCATTAGAATTCTAATATATTGTTTTGTTTGGTTGAGAATATGTTTTAGTCGTGCTAGCACTTTTACTTTATGTATTATGAGTTTTTAGGAGTTGTTTAGCCTTTTAGAGATTTGTAGGTCAGTAGAAAATATAAAGAACTTCTAGTACTTATTTATTTTATATGATATTGGTCTAAGATATGTCCTGAGTGCTCCATATATCTTAACTCTTAAGCAGAGGTGTTTCCTAAGAAGAGTCAAGCATAGTCTACGAGTGGTCAAAACTTGAGAAACAGATGAAGGCATTCTCTAGCTGTTGGATATCTGTGAACATGCTCCTTTTTTTTTCTTTTTTTTGGACTTGTCTTATGACATGGCAATATGAAGTGTGTAAAGATAAGTAAATTGATAACATGAATCCATCTTCCGGATGTTATAGAAGTTTAGATATGACTGAAGCATTGAATATGCTGATGTTGTACCCGATCCGTAGCATTTCTGCCTTAGTTCGTGTTCCCCGGGACTGTTCTACCACCCCTCCTTTTCTTGTTTGAGCGTTAGGCTTAGAAAATTTGTGCTTAGATTAATTAATGCTTTCAGTAGTAGCTGGAGTTCACGACACGAAGTTCTGTGCTTAGATTAATTAATGCTTTCACTAGTACCTGGAGTCTACAACATGAAGTTGTTTTGCATGATGAGTTTTACCCAAAAAAACATGGCTTTTGCATACACAGAGAAGTGATAGTGTGCCTTACTATACCGACAACTCACTCTACATATACGTGCTAAGCTAATAAATGAATGACTTGGTAGAAAAATAGAATCTTACTGCTCTTTCATTTGACTGCAGATGCTGAGTTCAGGAACACGGGATTAGAAAGGTCAGAGAGCTTAGCAAAGGATTTGGAATGGTTTAGGCAGCAAGGTTATGCCATCCCAGAACCATCAACTCCTGGTCTCAACTACGCTCGTTACTTAGAGGATCTTTCAGAAAAGGATCCTCAAGCATTTATTTGCCACTTTTACAACACATACTTTGCGCATTCAGCTGGAGGTCGCATGATAGGGAGAAAGGTCAGTAAAGTCTTCTTTCTTAAGTTTTTAGTAGTATTCCACATTGTCCTTCTGATACTGTGGTATATCAAGCTAGAATTTTATCATAGAAATATCGAATGAGCAAAAATTTAGCTGTTTTTAAGTCATAATTTGAAGAGTATCCTAGGCAACCGTTGTGCGGAGAACACATTATGTTTGTCATTACACCCATGTATATAGGTTCATATCCACTTCCCTCTTCATATTCTGTTTTCTATTCTCCACTTGAGTTGCCTTTTAACATGGATGTGAGGGGGAGTGGACAATTTAGTTTGTACAACAACTACTGTGCCTCAGTCCCAACCAAATTAGTTCATAGGCCTTAAAATTTTCGGCATTACATTTTTCTCTATTTACCTTACTTTCATTCATTTCCATGTACTCATTAGTGCTTCAACTTTGATGGATAATTGAAATATTATAAGTTCCCGCCTTTATCATCTCTTAGTCCCAAAACCAACTACTGGTTGAGCAATGTGCGACTGGAAGTTGTACAGTAAAAAACAAAATTTGAATATTCTCATTAGAAAGTCAGTTTTAAAAATGCTAGGCAGATGATAAACGAGGAGATTAGAAGAAATGTAAAATACAGGTAATCTTAAGCTCTCTATACAAATTACTTTGTTAGACTAGTGGTGTCTTCCAATTCCCCCCGCCTAAAACTTAGTTTGGTGGTAGAATATCTATTGCATTTTTTTCCCTTTCCCTTCTCATTTTTAGAGTAGCGTTGTTGAAAGGGAAAGGTGGTTAATTGTCCACCCAATCTTGCCTCTTCTTGTTTTTAGGTGGCTGAAAAGATACTCAATAAGAAAGAGCTGGAATTCTACAAATGGGACGGTGACCTTTCTCAGCTGCTGCAGAATGTTAGAGAGAAGCTGAATAAAGTTGCAGAAGTAATCCTAACTTGTAACTTTAATCTTTCTTTTACCTAACTTATTCATTGATGGTTAACGTGATGCATCGATTCTTTGCTCAGAACTGGACTAGAGAGGAGAAGAATCATTGTTTGGAAGAGACGGAGAAGTCATTCAAGTTCTCAGGGGAAATCCTCCGATTAATATTGTCTTGATACACGGCTTTGCATTTGTTTACTTGTTAACTTGTACATTGGATGGCCTAAAGCTCAAATTACTGTGAATAGTCGTGTTCATTTTCGCTTTGGAATTTTAAATTCTGTCTATTATGTACAATAACTTGATTCTATTCAAGTATTATGTTGTCATTCATCTCTCAAAGCTGCAGCTGCTTAACTTAAGGGGCTGCCCACCCAGTTGCAGTATTTGATGTTGGTTTTGTGTTGAGGACACAGACACCAGATTTGTGCTTGAGTCTGGTTTTGTGTTCTACTGCTTCTATATTAATTATTATTAGGGGTCGTTTGGTTGGAGGGATTAGAAAAAACAATCCTACCATAAGTAATACACGTGTCGTTATCAGTAAGTTACTGGAGAAAGCTAGAGGTGAGTTGCACCAAAGAGAATCCGAAGCCATTGCACCCAAGGGTGTTGCCTAGTGGTGCATAACGTGGATGCATCTCCCAGTAAAGATGAACTTCCTTTATTTCGTAACCTTAGCCTTAGATTCCCTAGAAAGAGATTCGTCTTTGCTTATTTTGCCTGATCATCGGCGCGGGAATGCTTTTGCTTAACTTCTTGTTTCTCTCTGATATCATCCAGCTGATAATATAAAGAGATATATAAAAAGTGTGCAGCGAACGTACTTGTAAATTATCCATTTCAGTTTTTGAAAATCTGCTGTGTATAGTATGTTAAGTTTTGAAATCTGCAATTTCCTATACATGAATGGAAAAATCTGCAGTTTGATTTTGGTCCAGTTTTGTGTCAAATTTTGCAATATCTACAGTTTTGAAAATCAATAGTTTTGTAACCATCTGTTTAGTTTCTTTGGCTGTCCATTTTCTGTCTAGTTTACTTGCGCCTACAACACAACCATTAGAACTACACAATCAATGGAACTACAAATAAGCAACTTGCCATAACAACACAACCATTAGGAATTACAAATAGTTGCAAATACTTCTTGCAAAAGAGAACCACAAAACTTAAAACTATAGTTACATATGTAAGTATGCAACTAACTGAAACTAAAATTACATATGCAACTAACTTGAACTAAAATTATATATGCAACTACAATCACCATTACAACTACAATAAGATTTCATTTCATCAACCCAACGACAAGAAATCCAACGAATAATGCCCATGAAATCAAAATGATAATTCTCAACTTCTTGATTTTCTCTTCTAAATTACTAATTTTTCCGACCTCCACATGATTAACAAGCTCCATTTCTTCAACTTTCTTCTTCAATTTGTCTCTTTCATCTATAATAACACCCAAAGAAGTTTTTAACTCTTTGATCACAATCACTGCTCTTCGGGGGTGCTCTTCGTCATGCCATTCCCAAAAGTCACATGAACTAACCTACAAAAAATCAAAATATTCAATGATATATAATCAGCCATTTCGACTAAATAATCACTAATAATCATCACTTCCTTAAAAGAATACCTATAAATCAGTACCTAAACCGAGCAAATGAAAAGGATGCCATTAAGCCCACCAAAAACGAAAATAAATTCACAACTTACTTTTGGTCTTGGACATTTGTAGAACCTCCTTCCAGCATTGGCGTCAGTCCAAGCAGTCAAATGTAAAGCATTCAGTCCGCAATTGCATCTTCTCACATCCAGGATTCCATTTGAATCCACAGAACCTTCAAACATTGACACAAAAAATCAATTGGAGCGAGGACTTTTTTATGAAATGGTTCAACATATGAATTAGGGTTCTTTAATGGTTGAAGAAGGCGATTGCTTTTTCCATTTATTTTTCTGATTCTTAGGTCACTGGTACTATCTTTCTGGCCTCTATTGTTGTTACTGTTCTATTGTCTCTCTACTCCCTGGGTAGTAGTTTGACAATTCACAAGTATCCAGATGCGGATTTAGAGTCTGTTCATTCTAAAACCAGAATTTAACTCGGATTACGTGTGTTCATCTAATAATTTTTGGAGATACACGCGTTGACCCCTTATAAAAATGATGTACATATATAGTAATACCCAAAAGTTACTTCAATAAAAACATGGAAACTCACTAAAAATTGAGGTAGCACCTTATGCACAGAAAGCTCCAATGCTTCAGAAGGCAAAAACATCACTAGAACTACTAAAAATGAGGGCATTCAAGACCATTACATTGAAAATTTTACTAACTAAATAACAGTTTTAATTACATTGATTTGGCTAATAAAAATAGTTATTTAAGTGTCATAAGCAATTTTTGGAAGTTCATTCTGGAATATAATGTTATACTCACCTGAATATGATTGTACGATGTGAACATCCACTGGCTTGTTTCCGAGGTTATCTTGTTCTTGTTGAATTCGAACAGCAGAAGCCTCGAGTTTGAGCTTACAACCACGCAAGTCAATTAGTTGTAGTGAGGTGATTTCTGCAAACTCAATGGGTATCTCTTCCAAAACTCTGCAATGTATAATCACGAGGCGCTCAAGGACAGGAAAATTGTCATTTGTAGCTTTCCAGTATTTGAGATCATTCTGGCCAATTAGCAAAAGCTTCAAACTAGTAAATCCCCCTACAATTGGATACCATTCTTCGCCTTTACAAGCATTCAGTCTCAGCCTCAGCACCTCAAGTTTAGGCAATTCACCTATGATGTCCAAGTCCTCCCACCTTAGTTCAATTTGACGCAACTCTAACTTTTTCAGCGTTGGCGGAAAAGTTTTTGCACTTGGAATGGTCAGTGGTGAAATCCCATTGTCTAAAGACCACCGATCATATAATTTAAAACTCATTGTTTCAAGTTGATGCAGATGGACAAGATTGTCAACAAGTCTACATTCTTGAAATATTTTATAGTCACATGAATGACCACATATTCGTAATTTTTTAACATTTCGAATACCTGAAATAACCTCCTTTGTGCAACAACTTGGAGACAAGCCAGAGATAATTTGTACATTTGAAAAATTCAAGTACCATAGATGTTAGAATACCTCATCAACAGATTCACTTAGAGGATTTGACAAATAAAATTTATGCAGTTTGAGATGCCTTAATTGCATTAGTTCCCAAATTTGCTCTGGAAAAACCATAGATGTTGACTGATACAAACCAGCAGTCGTGAATGTTTGTAGATTCCATAACCTGCAAATTTCTGGAGGGATATTGCAAACACCCCAGACATTGCTAGGTACCTCAACCAAATGAGAGATAGTATATGCGGAGGGAATGACCTATCAAACGATATAGGAGTTAAGTCCAAGACTCTGAGTAAGTTGAAATGAACAAGCTCCGATTTGAGAGTAAAGTTGTAAGTATAATCACAGAAAGTGAGAATAGAATGAGTTCGCTTCAGGAGATGGTTGTCATCATCATCTGTTTGCCTTATTAGATGATGGTGTCCAGGGGTAAGAAGGGCCCTATAAGAACCATAGTCGATAACATCCCCATCAGTCCATCGCTTAAAGGGCTGCATTTTATGCCTAGTAAGATGATGACATTGATCATCAAACACAATATCATCGCTATGTGCTTTTTGTGCTTCCGTACCATCATATACAATGTCATTCATGGCAAAAGTGTTTTGGCTTTGAGCTTCTCTCAAGCACAGCTCGTATATTAGATCATGAACCTTACACGTTCTAATTTTCGTTTCATCCCAATTTTTCTTACTGACGAGAACTAAACATCTATCGATAAGATCTTGCAAACACTTGTCAGCCTCCCCTTCCAAGTCTTCTTCCAACTTCAAAAACCCCGCAGCAATCCATAAACTCATCAATCTCTTCACTGAAATCTCACTGTCTTCTGGAAAAACTCCAAAATACAGAAGGCATGCTTTTAGGTCACTGGTCAAGTGATTGTAACTCAACCCAAGCACATGTAAACATTGTTTATCAGGATCATTTGTGACAAATGACTTGACATCTTCAGCAACATTTTCCCAATCTTCTATTGTCCTTTCAGATTTAGACAAAAGCCCAGCAACAACGACAATGGTTAACGGTAACCCCTGACATTTGTCTACAATTTGTTTCCCAATAGTCTCAAATTCAGATGGTAGTGCTTCATTTGCAGACGCGATACTTTGGAAAAGTTTCCAACTCTCAACTGGACCCATGAGATCCATCTGCAAAGAAAGATTCTCTGTACCAGCAGAACAAGCTACTTCAATGTTACGGGTCGTCAACAATATTCGACTCCCATTGTTTTCACTTGGAAAGCATAGTCTCACGTCATCCCATGCTTCACTCTTCCACATGTCATCCAATACAATTAAGTACCTCTTTCCCTTTAAACTCTTTTGTAGCATGTCAGCTAGCTCTGCCTCATCGTCCATGTTAAATTTGTCGCCCTTTGTATGACGCAGAAGGCTCAACAAGATTTCCTTTACATTATGTTGTTGAGATATAGTAGCCCACGCGCAAACATCAAAGTGAAGTCGAGTGGATGCATCATCGTAAACTTCTTTCGCCAAAGTTGTTTTACCAATGCCCCCCATCCCCACTATCGGGACGACTTTGAGTCTACCAGACGAGCCACCATGTTGTGTCAGTTCTACAAGCAACCTTTTCCTTTGATCATCACGTCCCACCATATTGTTCTCCACATTTGGAGTATGCTTTTCTGAACTTGAGTCTTGAACCAAAGCTTCCTTTGATACCTTTTTGCCTTCATTTTGAATCTTTGGTGACTCATTCGGGAGATGATCAATCTCCTTTGCTACCTGTTTTAGGCTATCACAAAGCCTCTTATTTTCCTTTTCTTTCTGCATTTCATCCTTTGCCATTAAAAATTCTGTTAGTCGCAATTGAATTGTGTGTTCAACAGCATTTGCAGCTTCTTTTATCTGTGCTTCCAAATCGGTCATTTTCCCAGAATTGTTGTTTTTCTCAAAGTTCTTGAGTAATACTTCCAAGAAGCTAACTTTTTCACGAAGAGCGAGAAATTCTTCTTTGTGATCACAAACTAGAGATTGCATTGGTGAATTGGATGCCAAGACCGACTCCATCGTTCTCATAAGAGAAGCAACACTAGCATAAGCCATATCTATTGTATTCCAATTATGACCTGAAACCTGCAAGTTGCAAGACGTCAATGTTGGTATATTTGTACTGTTTGATTCTGGTGCAAATTATATTGTAACATCCCGACCTCCTCGAGCTAATCTTAGAT